AGTAAAACTCAAGAAGAGAACAAAACCAGTCATCATACCAAAATACGAGTTAAACAACAGTTCCACAGAATTCACTGACAATAGAAGGAACAGATTTGCAGTACTAAGTATAATAGGTCGTGAACCCGAAGAGCTTTGGTCTGAAGCCAGGGACATAACAAAAGAAGAATACATAAAGACACTTCCAACAGACAAAAGGAAAGTGAAGTGAAACTGACTCCATAGATCGGGGATAGGCAACCTTTTTGAGCTGGGGGCCAAGCTGCTGTCCCTCAGACGATTGAGGGCTGAAGCAAATAAATAAATAAATACATAAATAAATAATTAAAAAATAATTCCTACATATACTGCACACATCATATTTTGAATTAAAAAAAAACAGAATTGGTTCCAAGGAGGGGTTGCCTTTGTCTTCCTCTGAGGCTGAGAGAGTGTGACTTGCCCAAGGCCACCTGGTAGTTTTCCATGGCCAAGCAGTCACACTCTCTCAGCCTCAGAGGAAGGCTATGGCAAACCCTCGCTGAAGAAATTTTGCCAAGAAAACCCCAAGAAAACAGCAACAAATCATATTCATCATCATCATCATCATGATCAGGCCAGAGAAAGCTTGCAAAGCTACAGATCCCTGGATCTCATAGGACAAAACTTATAGCACTTAAAAGGGGTCAAACTGCATTATTTCTCCAGTGCAATTTAGATCTATGAGTGTATCTGCACTGTAGTAATAATACAGTTTTGACCATGATAGGGTCAAAATAAGCCAGAAAGACTCCAACGCACTGGATTACCCTGGGCAAGTCACACTCTCTCAGCCTTAGAGGGTGGCAATGGCCAAAGAAACTCTGAAAACATTCTCTCAGCCTCAGAAGATGGCAATGACAAAAAAACCCTCTGAAAACACTCAGCTTCAGGGGAAGGCAATGGCAAACCTCTTCTGAGCAAATCTTGCCGAGAAAACCCCATGATAGATTTGTCTTAGCATCAGTCAAAAGCAAAGGCACACAACAAACAAGCCAAAGAAGGAGAGGAAGTCCCCA